AATGAGTAGAGTAAACTTTATACCTGAGGCCAAGGCCAATGTGGCCTAGAAGAGCTCCAATTTCACCAAAATCCGTGCGGAACCCTAGAATTGGGTGAGTTCCAATTCGTCTTTAAATCAACTCCGCCGTCCCAACCAATGCTTGGGCTTTGTTCTAGGCCTCAAGAGAAGTGTATGGGTGGTGGAAATTGAAAGAAATTGCTTCGGAATTGGGCGAATTTTGAACAAGAAAGTCGCAGCACCCGTGTGGGTGTTCTTCGCGAAATCACCGTGAAATTTCATGATTTTTGGGGTGAAACATGAAGAGGGAAGGCCTAGGTGTTGATTGGAAGTGGTACATTGATCCAATTTTGAGAATTCCAGTGAAAATCGTCGGAATTTGGGTGTGGGTGTCGCGGGTCGAAACGGGTCGCGGGTGAAGACCCATTTTTCTTCCTTCTCTCCTCCGCTTCTCGCCCACTCTCCTTTCCTCCTTTCTCTGTTCTGATTGGCCGGTCTCCTCTCTCTCTTCTCCCCATTCGCCAGCACTCTCTCCTTTCTCTCCCGGAGCTCCGGCTCTCTCTTCCTCTGGTTGGGCAGATTTGCCCAATCTCTTCTTCTTCTTCTTCTTCTTACGCGCACACACACACAAACCTTCTTTCTCTCATCCCAACCATCCATTTAATTCTTCATTAAATCTGGGCCGTCCATTTTCATAAAAGAAATTCTAGATTTTACTAAATTATAATTCCTAAAATGCCCAAATTTCAAACGTTAATAAATTCTTCGATATAACTCCAAATCACGCACCGTCTGCGCCCACGCATCCGTAGCGACGAGTACTACGAGAATATGTCAAGAAAACAAATCTTAGATGGCACGACACAATGATTAACCTCAAATAATGCGCGTGCCTCAAAGGGCATTTTTGTAAAATCCTTTATTAAAACTTTAAAACTCTTAAAATCAGGAACGGGCTGTCACAATATAAGTAACTACAAATATCAAATTTAATTTAAAATTATAATAACTTACATAAAATTGCATTATTGTATTAATTTCAGGGACTCCAATAAAAATTAAAAATTAACAAGGTTTCAATAAAAGAACATTGATAAATAGGGACCGCATCTAAAGTCACCCTTTTTATAGTAAGTCATTTCAGAGTTTTCTTAATGATCAAGGCATTACTCATCAATTGAGTTGTTCTCATACCACTTAGCAAAATGGATGTGCAGAGATGAAGCATAGACATGCTGTTGAAATGGGTAGGACATTGCTTTCTTAGAGTGGTTTGCCTTCTAAATTTTGGGTAGGGGCTTTTAAGACTGTAGTGTACCTTATAAATTGATTGCGCCTTAGTCTTCATCTACTAGAATTACTCTTCAAAGCCACCCCCAAGTATCATACTTTGAAGACCTTTGGTTGTGCTGTTACCTTTTGTTACAGCCCTATTCTATTAATAAGTTGGATGTCAAAAGTAAACTCTGTATGTTTTTGGGATATAGTCTTAATCATAGTTGCTACAAATATCTTGGTCCTGTTACCAACAAAATATATATCTCTAGGCATGTGACTTTTGATAAGCATTTCTTCCCTTTCAAGCATGATTCTATTTCACCTCATAGCTCCATATCTTTTACTTCAACCACAAGCAACACTACACCCCTTGATCTTACTATTCCACTACCTTCATCACAGCCTTCAACTTTAGAATCATCCTCTATTTCCTCGTCCACAATTCAATCACCACAAACTCCACCATCTCTCTCACCTATTACAGTATTTATGCCAAGCTCTCCTCCTCAATATTTACAACCTGCGGTAGCCCTGTAAACTCTCATCCCATGATTACAAGAGCTAAAGCAGGCATTTATAAGCCAAAGGTGTTTACAGCCAAAAAGCATCAACTTCCTGCCACTGTTGATCCTCTCACTAGTATTCCATCTACACCTACTATATACCTACTAGCTTCAAAGAACTCCAATGGATGGCACATGGGATTTGGTTCATTTCAATTCTAGTTACAACTTGGTAGGATGCACGTGGGTATTCAAAATCAAGCATAAGCCTAATAGTTTTATAGAAAGGTATAAAGCTTGATTAGTAACTAAGAGGTTTCATTAACAAAAAGGTCTTGACTTCTCTGATACTTTCAGTCTTGTTGCCAAGCCCACTACAATTAGAATCCTTTTTTCCATTGTTGTTACATATGACTGGTTTGTTCATCAACAAGATGTTAGTAATGGATTTATGTGTGGTACATTGAAAGATGATGTTTATATGATTCAGCCGCCTAGCTTTGTTGATTCATCCAAGCCACATCACATTTACAAGCTTAAAATATTACTTTATGGACTTAAACAGGCACCTAGGGCCTAGTATGAAGTTTTTGGGAGTGTTATTCTCTCTTTGGGTTTATCTAAGTTTTTCTCTGATACTAGTCTTTTTATCACAAGGTTGTAAAAGACGTTAAGCGCTAGTCGGACGGCGGACAAAGGCCTAGGTGGGGGCTTAGGTGGACTGAGTGGAATTAAGTAAATATAGTATAATCATATAAAGAAGTGCTTCTTTATACTTTAATAAAAAAAATAAATAAATAAAATACTAAAAAAAAAACTATACTAATATTTGTGTTTACTGTTTTAATTAAATTTATTATTTAACATACAACACACACAAAATTAAAATTTTCACTTTAGTATCTTAGTGAATTTGATGATATGAGATGAAAATTCAAGTGATTAAAAGTTTGTAGCATTTTATAAATATTTTTAGAAGTTTTACATTGAATTTTAAAAGAAATAATGGTGTCAAACACTTAGGTACAAAGCATTAATTGAGTGGTAGAAACATGTAAGGCATGTTAAGGACCACACCTCCTAATTCCTACAAACCCTTATTAATTAGGTGTTTAAGATGCAATAGTCTCATTGGATGGCAATTACAAAAGAAGACAAATAGATGCTTGGTGGTGGTCACATTGGATAACAAAGTACAAAAGAAGATAGGAAGTTGCTTCTGTCACGTGGGGATGAGAGATAAATAATGAGGCTACTCCTTCTTCTGTAGATTAAAAAAAAAATGAAATTCGAACATAAAATCAACTTTTTTCAACTTTTAACCACGCCTAGACCGCCTAGGCCTCCCAGCACCTGCCTAGACCCCATAGGTGCCCGCCTAATTTCTTCCCTGATTTGCCTCTTGATCTTGACTTAGTCCGGGCGGCTGACCATCGCGTAGTGCCTAGGCCGATTTTTAGAGCACTGATTTTATCAAAAGAGATTCTTCAATAACTTTCATCCTAGTCTATGTTGAAAATATCATCATCACTAGCCGTTTCTGTTCATTTTGTTAGTCCATCGTTTCTAAGCTACAAACTATATTTCCTGTCAAGGATTTGGGTGACATTCATTATTTTCTAAGAATAGAAGTTCATAGATATGCCAAAGGTTTATTTCTCAATCAATCCAAATATGCTTTTGATCTTCTCAAGAAGATTGATATGGTTGGTGTTAAACCATGTGCTACACCAGTTGGTTTAGCCAAATTGGACCACACAAGCACCATACTTACTGATTGTACCTTCTACAAATCAGCAATTGAGGCTCTTTAATATCTTACCTGGACTAGAATTGATTTGGCATTTGATGTCAATCAAGTCTGCCAATACATGCACTCTCTAAGATTCATTCACTTGTAGGTAGTCAAATGGGTCCTAAGATACTTAAAGGGCGCTCTTGATTCAGGCTTATGGTTTACTAAAGGTTCTCAACATCTCACTGTTTGGTCTGATGCAGATTGGGCAGGATGTCATGTTGATAGAAGATCCATTAATGGATATTGTGTGTTTCTTGGACCTAATCTAATTTCCTGGAATGCAAAGAAGCAAAGTACCAGTAGCAAGGTCCTCTACAAAGGCAGAATATAGGTCTCTTACCAATACGGCTGCATAAATTAATTGGATGTGTAAGATTCTGCAAGGCATATCCTTTCCTCTGTTGAAATCTCCTGCCATTTTTTGTGATAACAAAAGTGCAATTGCCTTAGCCTTTAATCCTGTTTTTCATGCAAGGACTAAACATGTTGAGATAGATTATCACTACATCATAGAGAAGGTTCTGTGTGGCCATGTTAGTGTGCATTATGTTGCTTCTCTTTTTTAGATTGTAGATATTTTTTCAAAGTCTTTGCCTACTGATCTATTTGCAATATTAAGTCATAAGCTTTTAGTTAGATCACCTAAGTTTAGCTTGAGGGGGTGTATTAAGGATAAAGAAGGACCACCAACTAATCATGAGTACATAGCACCAGATTAAATCTTAGCTTAGCTGTTAAGATAGGGTTTGTTAGTGTTAGTTATATTGTTATGCTGACATAGCATTGGTGTACGTATTTATGTATAAATACAAATGTACACATTCATTCAATGTAATAAAAGTAAAGTCTTTAATAACTTCTCTCTCTACTGTCAGCTTTATTCTTACAGAACCTTGAGTTTCTACGGGGCTAACAAAAAACAAGAATTATTGATATGAAAACTCTAATATTGAGTATACTAGAAACCGCTAACTGTAAATCCTCCATCAACGCTAACAACTTGTCCATTGATGTAAGAAGCAGCAGGAAGGCAAAGGAAAGTCACTAAGCATGAAATTTCATTAGGATTTGCAGTGCGACGAAGAGCAGTTCAACCTATGAAATGTCTGTAATCATCCGAATTACCATCCTAATAATGCAAAATCAGTTCAAAATGTTAGATTAAATACCCATAAAACATAGTAATTAATTAAAACAAAGTTTTACTTACAGATTCAACTTTAACACTAGTGTCTGACATCCCGTAGTGCTACAGTGTTTCTTTTGCCCATTCACATGCTAAATTCTTAGAGATTTGGATCACTGCTCCTGTAAAACATAAATATCACCATTATGTGAAAGTTTTCTATGCAACTATATACATTTTCACAGTAAACTAATGACTCAGTTAATTACTTTGGTTGCTGCATAGGCAGATGTTTTAGGTAGAGCTATCATACCACCAATGGAGGAGACAAATACAACGCTTGCATCCCCTGAGGTCTTCAACAGAGGATGTGCAAGTTGGCAAACATGGTAGGAGATTCAACATTGGTGCTCATCAAACTTGAGAAATCTTTCAAAGTGTAATCTGTAGCTCCTCTTAGTGTGGTTGTTGCAGCATTATTTACCTGCAACAACATATATATAGACAACTTCATAGTTAGTTAAGCTGAAGCTACTGATGTGAGTATTTTGTCATTAAGCGGCTTTTGTCCGCTTTAGCTTTTATTTTACGGGTTGTTTTTAACAGTCGACTGAGATTTGTGCCTTGAAATTTTAACGCATATTGTTGATCTGATCAATAACTGTAGGTCAACGGGATTACATTAAAATGAATTATGAGGCCATAAACAAACTTACAAGTATATTAAGCTTGCCATTGAAAATAGAGGAGACAGTTTTGATGAAGTTTTCCCTTTGAGCTTTAAAGGTGAGGTCACAAACTGAGCCAGTCACTTTAAACCTCTTATCTTCCCATTCTTGAAGCCTCTCAACAATCTGTGCTTCGTTACGGGCACTGGTATGCACTGTTGCTCCCAGTCCTGCTAGCTCTTGTATTATGGCATATCTAATGCACAGAATACACAAGAACAATGTCAACAACCAATACACAACAAGATACAAAAGAGCGTTTATCTCTATGCTGGACATTATGTGTTTGAGTCCCCCATTTCCAGTATCGCTTGCGTAAAAGAAAATAACAAAAAGAGAGATATAAATAGGTATTGCATTACCCGATGCCTTTAGTTCCACCAGTGACAAGAGCAGTCGTACTCTCTAGAGACCATCTTGGCTTTTGAAACCTGCCATGTATTTTGCTTGAAAAGAAATTAAGAAAGCAAGCTATGTTACTCAAGAGTGAAGCAGAACGAATAAAATGATAGCTTATACGAAAGCTAACTGTGTATACATATAGCATCTGCTGAACAAACAACCAGATTGAGACCAAATATTAAATTATGAACAAGAGGATCAACAGTGTAGTGGCCTTCTTTTGGCCTGGTCAAACTTTTAATTAATTCGAAATAATTCAACTTAGAGGAACATCATCCAATGTAAAACCTCATCGAAGGTTTATATTTTTAACTTTGATTTATTCAACTTAGAGGAACATTTGGTTCTGCTAATTGGCAATGATATGTTTATCCTCATCTACTTTATTTCTATGTCTTTAATTAATTGCTTCTCACGTTCTTTTAGTCATTTCATTCACTAATTTTCTTCCTCACCAAGTTGTTATAAACTAGTGATTTTTTCCAAATTGACCAAGTCCGTAGCTAATCTCTTTTTTTGTCTGTTTTTGCAGATCCCATCAAACTCTATTTGATTTGAAGAAATCAACAGTCCATTTAATAAATTAATAAATGGCACTAGCTTAACCCAAACAAAAAAAAAAAAAAATTATTAGAACCAACAACCAAAAAAGAAGCTTGAATATGACCATGCTGCCAGCCCATTAGATACAGACCAGGCGAAATTGTCCGCCCATTGTTTTTTTTTTTTTGGAGGATATTGTCCGCCCTTTTGGCTGGTCTGCACCAATGCCAAAGATACCTCATCCTCCGCTTATCTGCTTTTTTTATTTTTCCTTAAGCTGAAAAAGAATTACAAAGAATCTTTAAGTCATACATTTTATTATAGGACAAAATATAAGTACGCAGAAGTTTCCAAAATATATATATATGTATTAGTGCTCAGAGATGGAGTCAAAATTTTTAAAGAATGGGATCATAATATTAACCAAAGCTTTATTAGGCTATTTCGTCGAATACTTAGTAAGTGCCTGTAAATTCCTATCAACATATACCAAAAAGTTATGCCAACAAATATTGACAACTACTATTATTTGTAGAAGCTTGTCAATGGTGGATGCAAGTACTGAGAAGTAATGTTGTAGATCGCAGAGGCTTATCAACTAAGGTATTTCATGGGGCATATGGTGTGCACAATAGAGTCGCACACAAGAAAATAGATACGGAAGATAAATATGATAGAAGAAAATAAAAGTAGGAGAAAGAAGTTGTAATTTAGTTTACTTTAGCTATTTATAAAAGCCAAATACAATGCATAAACATCTACATGGGATTTTTAAGTTGTTGGTATTAAGTGCAACCAACGATCCCATACTAGCTCTGTCACTGCAGGCACAGCCATATTTATATCATAATTTGGTAAAATCATGCGCTGTCATGTTTACTTCCCTGTAAGTACGGGAAAATGTATATCAAGAACTTGTCTTGGTGAAAATGAATATCAAGAATTTGTCTTGATTAATACCAAATATCTTGGATAATTAAATGGATTCGCCACAAAACTCGAGATTTGGGATGTATTGTTGACTGTAATTTACTGTAAGCTTAGCGTTGGGATGTTAGCATTAGTATTGCCTTTTCTGCAGAACTTACTCTCAGTACTGACTTTTCAGACTCTGATTGGACTGCAGACCTTAATAATAGGAGGTTTGTCACAAGTTATGTGGTTTATCTTGGAAGAAATCAGTCTCATAGTAATCAAAGGAACAAAGTTCTGTTCCTAGGACTTCTACTGAAGCAAAATACAAGGCATTAACACATATTGTTGCTGATGTTGCTTGGATTAGATGTGTTTTGAGAGATGTGGTTGCTATCTTACCAATTCCTCCTGTGACTTTTTTTTTTATAATAATTCAGTCATTGCCAATTCAGTCATTGCCTTAAGTGCCAATCCTGTATTTCATTCAAAGATTAAGCACTTAGATCGTACTACCATTTTGTTAGAGAAAGAGTCTAACATGGTAATCTGTAACTTCAATACTTACCTACAGAGGATCAAGCATCGGATATCTTAATCAATGGACTATGGAGTCCATTGTTGACGAAAATTTGTAATTTGGGAACAAACTTCCTCCAACACAATTTCACTGCAACCCGAAAATAATAGAGTTTTACTATTGAAGTTCAGACCCATTCAAGATTAAATAATCACTTAATTACAATAACTTGTAATAGTGACACAATTGAAACACCCTTCGATTAAAATTACAAAGAAACGTCATTTGGCGAGATGGGTATTTTGTTTGGTTTTGTAGCTGCCCTTGGGAGTAAATCTTGAGTTGCCTACGTATTGCTTTTGAGGTGGATCATGCCAACTCGTAGTTCAATGAAATTTAGGTGGAATTTGGATGTCCACTTGGATATGGTGCTCAGTGTTTTGAGTGTGTTTGGTCTCGGGTGAGCTAGGGATTCTGTTTGGGTTGAATTTAGTCTCGTACAAGTCAGGTATTCTGTTTAGATGAATGTGGTGGATTTGTATTTGTTTTTGGGGCACGGTTGCATCTAGAATTTTGTACTAAATTGCCTACATACTTTTTATGTGAGAGATCAAACCACATGTTGTTCAGGTTGGATTTTGGGAGTGGTTTTATGCCATTTGAGATTTGAGAGCGGCTTTGTGCCATTAGAATTTACAGGAATTTATTGGAACCAATGCTTAATCAAAATGCAAATAAATTTTGAAAAAAAAAAAACACTTAAAGAGTTTCCTATAAGAAGCACATAACTTTTAACTGGTGCTTCTAGTAGGAAGTAGCTTTTGGAATTTAAAAATATTTTCTCTAAAAACGCTTTCAGTTCATTTTAAAAACATTTCTAAACGAGTCTTATACATTCAAACTAAAACACAAGTAAAGGCCTAATTTTAACTTATAAGACCTACTCCAACTTTTGGAGTAAAACTCAAATTTTAGGTTCTAAATTTATCCCAACTTCCTCCAACCCTTGGGCAAATATGAGTTTTAACCCGAAACTCATTTCTGGAGCAAATTTAGCCCATGATTCCTCCTAGGTTAGTGAGGCTTGCCCACTTTAGTTTTATGTTTATAAATTTATTGAATCCAACGACTAAGATCTAATATGATGAAATCCAACAGTAAAAAAATAAAGCTCTAATGATCTAAATTTAAATATAACGGCTAAAGTAATTATAAAAAAAATTATTTTATGTGTTTCATATTTTTCCGTAGTACTCCACGAGTTTCATGGTGTGGATTTAGTGATTTCTCAATATTTATCGGAATCTAAATATTTTTAGGTTAAAATGTTCATAAAATTAAATTAGGATAGTTTACATAATTTTAAAAAAAAAAAAGTTATTTTAAGAAAAAAAAATTATCATAAATTCATTCTTTAATAATTTCGGCTAAAAATTTAACACATAATGGTTGAAGAAGAAAAATTGTTACTAAATTAAAACCTAAATTTTTTGAATTAAAAATTTTAAGTTTTAGACCAAGGGTTGAAAATAATGTAACCCATACCGTATGTAGATGGCCAACTATCTAAGCCCATTAGCCCATGGGTCTAGGGGAGTTAAGCAGTACTTATATATATATATATATATATATTTTTTTTTTTTTCCTTTCTGGTTTATCAGTCACCAACTACAAAGTTTGAATTTAGCAAATTCTATTTGGATAAATTCTACATTAGGATGGAGTAGAATTCTCTCATTCCCTTCTTTTTCTTCCTTTCATATTATGTTTTTTTGTCTTATTGTCTTTAAAAAAATCAATATAAAATATTGACGTTTAATCGTAACCGTTCAAATAGAAAGTAATAGAATGTAAAAGATATTAGAAAGAGAGAATCCTCTTCCCATGAGTCTGCATGTATAATTAGCCGCAACACTGATTGATGACATTTTTTCAGACATAGAAACTGGTGCAATGTGAAGGGGAATTAATTCAAATTAGTACCATGGCGTTTATGCGCAAGTTGATTTAGGAAATACCTACTTCCGATCCAGATACACCCGGACAAATCCAGGCACATACATACCTGTTAAGTTGATAGCTAATCTGACATAGGGCAAAAGTATTTGCAAAAAGAATAATGAAGTGATGGCTAACAATGATTGATAATGACCACTAATTGTTATATTTTTTTTATGTCTGAAATAACGATATAATATTAAAAAGTAGATAAATAAGTTAATATCAATCTCGTTATTTATAAAAAAAAATAGGGTAAATCTTAGTTTACTACTCTTAAGTTTTGTGATTTTTAACATTTAGTACATCAAGTTTTTTTCGTCCTAAAGTCATACCTAAAATGTAAATTTTGGGGCAGTCTCATACATCCGTTAGTCAAATTGTTAAGTCTTCCATTAAGTGATGATGTGGCGCCCATGTGGACAATGACTGGCGCCATGTGTCATTAAGGGGTCCATGTAGATTTTTTTCTTCTTCTTCTTTCTTTCTTCTCTTCAGATGAGCGGTTCAGTTTATTAAAAAAAAAATTCAAAATTCAAAATTCAGTGAATGGGGATAGTTCAAAGTGAAAAAGTGAAAAGTAAAAACCACTTTTCACTCCCCCAGAAATCGCGATCCCCCATCTCTGTCCGAAACCCTACCAACAAGCTGTCACTCCACTTCGCCATCGCTTGACCTCGCACTCTGTTGTACGTTGCGCATACCTTTGCACATCAAAGAAGGGGCACCGATTTTTAGCAAGCTTGTCGTGAAGCCATCGTTGGCAATGGGGTGGGAAAAAAGGAGGATTGAAGTAGCTGAAACACTGGTTTATTGTAAGTAACCTACCTTTTTCGAAGTGTAGATAATATGGGTTTAGGTTTTTTAATTTTTCAATTTTGCATTTTAGGGATTAGGGATTTGTGAGTTCTTATCCCATTTTTTTCTGAATGGTTTCTGGAATTGTGTTTTGTAATGGTTTTCTGCATTGTTAATTGTTTTCAATGTGCATGTGGTTTTGTCTTCATTCATGGTCCCAATTGCAGCCTTTAAAAAAGCTGTATTCATGGTACCCGGGTCCCTATGTTTTTGTTTTCACCTTTTTTCCTCCTGGTCCTACTATTATTTTGGATTTTAAAACCTTTTTCCTTACTTTGCAGGCATGCCTAAATTATTTAGCCTTAAAATTTACCACAGTGGGAAGTGGTTTGAAAAAAGCATATACGGGAGCGTTTGAGGCTTGGTTTAATTATGTAGACAAAGACTT